CCCCCGGAAGACATACTTGTACAGCAGCATACGCGCGACAGACACCCTACATGCCCGCACACATCCCAATACACGCCTATTTTCCCGCTCTACCACTGACGTATTTTTCCGTGACAAGCCGGTCACAGCACAGTCGATGCTGTCCAACCAAAGAAACACCCTATACACGCGCGCACACGCCTACGTTCCCACTCTGATACTACCGTCATTTCCTTGACTCGCTGGCTAGGGCGGTCGATGCATACTCAGGAGAGACACAAAACACCCACCTGCATGTTGGTGTTTTCGGGGTTGAGTAGATCCCTAATCTCCTCTTGGTAGATCTCGAGATACGACACGCGCATGAGGAACATGCGGTCGGTCTTCTCCTGGATCAGGCGGAACAGGTCTCGCGTGGCGATCTGCACGATGCCCGGGTTGGCCTCGCTGCCTCCTCCCTGTGCGTGAATGTTGCGCGCGCGTGCGAGTGCAAGTGCGTGGGCGTTTGGTAAATGAGCGTCGTGCCACGTTGTGTTACACTGGCCACGGAATAGACTGCGATCTATTCGAAGCGAGTACTTGTACAGCAGCAGGAGGAGGAGCACCAGCAGGAGCAGAAGCTGGAACAGCACTGGAACAACAACAACCAAAATACATTGCTTGTCCGCAGTTTTGCTTTGTGTCAACTGGACGGGAGGAAACGTTACCCCACCAGCGTGCAATACAACATTCCCAAGTGACCTGAAAGTGTTCTTGACGGGCATGAAGACTAAAACTGCGGGTTTGGTTTGAATCCTGAGAGTGACCCCCCCGCCTGCCAACTGCGATCTAATTTGTACGAAGTGTACTTTTCAACAAGTGAAAGTTGTGGGTGACCACGAAATGCCTCCGCATCGGTTGAGCTGGTACGGAGGGTGGAAACCACTGAGCAGAGACCTGGACCTTCTCAAGGTAAAGTCAAGAGCAAAAGCAATAACAAGTGGTGCTCAGATGGGACAAACCGGTTTCTGATTGGACATCTACAGGATCGAGCAGACAACGTCACTGAACCACATCCTGGAATTATTCTCACTGTTGTATCGCGACCTTCCACAAGTTTCCCGATCGGAGAGGAGTGGGCGGGCACTCCCCCGAACAAACGATTGTCTACAAAGAAACAAGGTACTGGAGGTTAAGACTATTCTGCGGGACCCCTTTGCCACTCCTTGCTGCTTCATCTGCGCACTGTTGTGCTTGGTGTCGGTAAACCCGGCGGAAACAGGCACCCCGTACGTTTCCTGCGCTTTCGCGGAAATCAGTAAGGTAAATACCGCTGTGCTTTCAATTACTCCGAGATTCTACGTGCATGATGCTGTAAACTGGCAAGCGGTTCTGAGACTAGCTGAAAGCAGGGGACTGAGGGGGGACTGCGCTCAACCGCTGTGCCCTGTTAAGGGAACTAAGCACCAAGGGTCCCGACACCAGCAGTAAAAAGTCTTGGGGAAGACTGCGATCCAATAGCTGTGCCCTGTGGAAGAAACGTCAACCACAGGTTATCTCAACAGAACAAACGCTAATCGATGCCAGGTGCTGTACCTCTAAAATAATTATTCTTGTGAGGGCATGTACTGCTGTAGTTCTGCAGGACGACTGGCTGCCGGTCAGCATTTGGTGGCCGAGCCGTCCCCCAGAAGCTATCTACGACAGTGAAGATTTTGGAACCTCATGCCCTTAACCTTTCGTTTATGGACACGGTAATACTGGTTGTCTGTCTCCCCACCCCCCCGCAGCTCTACTGGGGTATAGATCGATGTAGCGATAGCCGTCGCAGACCCGCTACGGTAGATATCTGGGAACAAAAGGGTGAATCAGCTGGAACCACCACGAGGAGGAGCACACCCAACACGCCGCGTCACCCCGTGCCTGCATGGTGAAGGTCTTGCCCGAGGACGTCTGACCGTAGGCGAAGATGGTGCCGTTCATGCCACGGGACACGGAGTGCACGATCTCCCTGGCGACCCCGTCGTACACGGCCTGCGTCGAGCTGTCCTCGTCGAAGATCCGGTCGTACGTGAAGAAAGTCCCCTTGCCGTCCGGAAGCGGGTTGCCCTCAGGCGACGTCTGTTTTTTTTTTTTCGCGATGATGTTTGTGCAGCAGGCGGCACACGAAAAAGAGGGGAGGAACATCAGCGACACTAGTGCCCGGGGGTAAACAACAGACAACAGAAGGTTAATGTTTTGAAAGACGCTGACAGGCGAATTACCACGTCTCGCCGTTTATCGCGTGCGTGCGAAATGCTTGTGTGCCCTTGTCCCGGGTAAGGACGACACAGACGCGAGGTGGGATTGGACATCGGTGCGGTGATGATGAGATGGATCGCATATGGACGCGACCGTCTGCATTCATCACCCAATCGTGATATGTTCGTGTCCCGTTCCTTTCCGGAAGGAGGTATCATGGTCTTCAGTCAAAATTGCGTTCCTTGTTTGGTGCTTGATGTGGGTGAACGCTGGAATGGATAACAACCGGCGCGAACGTATGTTTTAGTTTAGCAGAGGGAGACTCGCGAGAGCGCGCGAGCGTAATTTTTCACTGCTTCTGTGTTGGAGTACAGTACATCATACGGTTGTTTGTTTGTTTTTCTCCCACCATTGGACTCTGTCGTCTGCCCCTCTGGCCCCTATCCTCCACTTCTACTAGCTTGTGTGCCCTTGTCCCGGGTAAGGACGACACAGACGCGAGGTGGGATTGGACATCGGTGCGGTGATGATGAGATGAATCGCATATGGACGCGACCGTCTGCATTCATCACCCAATCGTGATATGTTCGTGTCCCGTTCCTTTCCGGAAGGAGGTATCATGGTCTTCAGTCAAAATTGCGTTCCTTGTTTGGTGCTTGATGTGGGTGAACGCTGGAATGGATAACAACNAAGTCCCCTTGCCGTCCGGAAGCGGGTTGCCCTCAGGCGACGTCTGTTTTTTTTTTTTCGCGATGATGTTTGTGCAGCAGGCGGCACACGAAAAAGAGGGGAGGAACATCAGCGACACTAGTGCCCGGGGGTAAACAACAGACAACAGAAGGTTAATGTTTTGAAAGACGCTGACAGGCGAATTACCACGTCTCGCCGTTTATCGCGTGCGTGCGAAATACTTGTGTGCCCTTGTCCCGGGTAAGGACGACACAGACGCGAGGTGGGATTGGACATCGGTGCGGTGATGATGAGATGAATCGCATATGGACGCGACCGTCTGCATTCATCACCCAATCGTGATTTATTCGTGTCCCGTTCCTTTCCGGAAGGAGGTATCATGGTCTTCAGTCAAAATTGCGTTCCTTGTTTGGTGCTTGATGTGGGTGAACGCTGGAATGGATAACAACCGGCGCGAACGTATGTTTTAGTTTAGCAGAGGGAGACTCGCGAGAGCGCCCGAGCGTAATTTTTCACTGCTTCTGTATTGGAGTACAGCAGTACATCATACGGTTGTTTGTTTGTTTGNGATGGATCGCATATGGACGCGACCGTCTGCATTCATCACCCAATCGTGATATGTTCGTGTCCCGTTCCTTTCCGGAAGGAGGTATCATGGTCTTCAGTCAAAATTGCGTTCCTTGTTTGGTGCTTGATGTGGGTGAACGCTGGAATGGATAACAACCGGCGCGAACGTATGTTTTAGTTTAGCAGAGGGAGACTCGCGAGAGCGCCCGAGCGTAATTTTTCACTGCTTCTGTATTGGAGTACAGCAGTACATCATACGGTTGTTTGTTTGTTTGTTTTTCTCCCATCATTGGACTCTGTCCTCTGCCCCTCTGGCCCCTATCCTCCACTTCTACTAGCTAGACGACCCAACCGGGGTCACATAGGGGGGGGGGGTTGGACCCCCTCCTGCGGTTCATGCCTGAGGTATTTTTGTCGCGAGAAGGGTACAGCAATCCCTTCCCTCGCGACTTACGAAGTCGACTATGTTGTGCGGTGTCAATCAAATCACGGCCAACGCTGTACATGGCTTGTGTGGGTACGTTAGAGCTGGGCTACATGGTGTTGCTCTATACCATGGCACTGCTGCGCTGAACCGTTGCTGCACTAGGTGGAAGCTGCTGGCAGCAGCAGCAGAGGGCGATACAGCAGTATGGTGACATGACGGATTCGGCCGTTGGTGAATAAAACATGGTCTTGCGCAAAGAAGACACAGAACCGACAGCGAGGGAGAGACAGCCAACCGACGAGATATTTTGCTTTGGCGACTCACCTGGGTAACGGAGTTGTGAGTAGGCACGCATCGCCATATCTTGTTCTGACCCCCTTCCTTCTCCCTGTCGTTCAAGGGTCGGAGGCGGATGGCGACTGTGGTGGACGTCTCCTGCTGCGACGCCGCCTCGGGACTGCGGCCGTCGCGCCGCAACGCGGTGTTTCGCGGCGGCATCTTCTTCTGTGCCCTCACAGAACGAAGACGGGCTCTGAACCCCCCCCCTGTCGCTGTCAGTAGCCCTCTGTCTCCCCTGCTGCCCCCTACCTTGCCCGTTGCTGGAGAGTGTGTGCAGTGGTAATGAGCTGCGAATCCGTTGATCCGCGCGGCGGGTCCTGGTGCTTGGAACAGCAGAACAGCAGCCCCCCCCTACATGTATGCATGCAATTTTCAGTACCAATCGCGAGCCCCCTCGCTCCGCTCAGTCTGCTGCTCTCCCTCTACCCTGTCGCACACACGCAGCAGCAGTTGGGACGCGGCTCCTGATGTCGCTTGCCGCGGAAAAGCGAAGGAAGGCCAAGGCTCTCGAAGAGGCCGGGGCGGCACTGTCCGTGAAGCTCGTCGCTCGATCCACGCGAGGCCAGCGCATCAGCGAGTTGCAGGGCGACGACGCCGAGGCGGACGAGACGTTTTGGGGGCAAGGAGCCTGGCAGGAAGAGGAAGACGGGGACTCTGAGTTCAGCTCTGAGGAAGGTAAGTGGCGTGGGTGGGTGGTGGCTTGCTTGCTAGTGGCACACGTTGCGTGGTGTGCTGCATGGTATGTTGTGCGCGCAATCATCAATCCGTACTCGCCACAGCCGGAAACCTTAGAGTCCCTCTACTTGCAGACTGCTTGTACGTGCCCAGATGCTGCGCTGCTTCTGCTGCAGGGCCGAGGGCTCCGCTTACGCTGCACCGACGGGGGGGGGGGGGGGGG